TTTTTTTTCCACTTCATAGGAGCGCTCGTATTGTACGTCATTGAGACGAGGAAATGTTCTGCAATCGGTTTCAAAGAATTTCCCCAAGTCAAACGTCATTGAGTCAAACATGAATTTGTCAAAAATCGCAATTGAAATTGTTTGTTGTTGATGAGCTACTTGAACGATCGAAGCTCGTAAGATGTTCATTGTTTATTATTAATTTATTCCAATTATCCTCCGTAGAATTTCTCCAATTTGTTGTGTTAGATAAAATTCGAGCAAGTTTAGTTGCATGTCGGTTTGTCAGTTGCTGCTCGATCAGTTGCGAGGAAAACTATGCTTTCATTTTGGCTCCCCTCGTAGCTTTCCCCGATGAAATTCGTTTACGTCCAACGACAGTTCGTCGCCCTCCGCTGTTCCGCATGAATTCGATTTGAGAAATTATTTCGAAATTCTCTGCTGAAGGCTACGTAACATGACATGGTTTCAGAAAGTAGTATCTTGCATTATTTTTATCAATATTACGAAATATTGAAAGCGTCTGATTTTTATGCAGTGTATTTTTTTTTTTTTTTTAAATTGGAATATTAATTTTGTGAATCTTTTCTAATCTAATAAACTTTACACCGGGAACAATCTCCATTCGTTTCTTGTTATTTATTAGATGTCACTTATACACTTTATATAAATTTATAGTTAATTCTTTTACTCATAGAACGAACTTTGTAAAGCATTTAAAATTCAGTCGAAAATCAAATACATATATTTCAGCTTATTAGCAACGATAATGACATATACAATTTTTTAAGCAAGAAAATCTTGAGACCTTTCGAATAATATTCCTTGGCGGCTTTTTGTATACCGCTTTATAGTTACTTTGTATTCACAGTAAAATTCGAGCTGCAACGGCCAGGTAGGAGCAATGCTCGGCTGCAGTGGTTCTCAATGCAGATATAATACGTTCATCTATGATCTAGAATTTCTAAAATAACATACGGTGTACGTAATTAATTTAATAAACACATTAATTTTAGCGATAAATATATTGTATTATATATCAAAACAAAATTGCAAATTGGATTGTAATTGTTTAATAATTTTACACATTTTATTAATAAAAAGTTGTACCTCCTAAATTACGATAAAATAAATATTTTGTTATTACGCCGTGAAGAAAATTTCTACATCAAACGAAGAATCATTAGTAATAGTAACAAATTCTTTTATACGCATCATATTTAGTTATGTCACAATTCTCGGTTCACCGTTACTCGTTAATTGGAAGAAGATAATAATTTTCTCAGTCAACTAAAATCAGTAATTACGTAGGAACATTAATAAACAATTGTTGCGTTTTAATTTCGATTTAATTTTCCTCTCACTCGTTCCTCATTTCCCCAGTTTAATTTATCTTTTTTATGTCTAGGGAAATATTCTCAGATATGAATAACTATATACCTAAAGTGAATGTCCACGATTTATCTAAAAGTCAGATTTTTACTACTTAACGCTTACCAATGTATAAACACAGTGAATGAATGTTGTATTACAAAAAACAAAAGTCCTGCAGTTCTTCAGATCATAATAACGAAGCTAGAATTCAAATCCTTCAAGGAACAATCCTTCAACGTCTTGTGATTGATGCTTAAAGATTGTCTCTAAATTTAACCCAAACTCGTCATTTATTTACCGATTGTGGTTCACCTGGAATAAAATATGTAAATTTCATTATCATTTTCTCTTTTTTTTTTTTTTTTTTTTTTTTTAAAA